CTTCCTTCCTTCCTTCCTTCCTTCCTTCCTTCCTTCCTTCCTACCTTCTTTCCTTCTCCACTCCCTGACCAGTTCTGCACTGCCTCCTTATCATTCACATATAGTTTCATACAAGAGGGAGGAACCACATTGGGTTTTGTGCACATTTTGAAATTGTTCATGTGATTTATTGAAGTCTTTCCAACCTTGAAAAATTCAATTTTATACAAAATCAAGTGTTTCACATAATAAAACTGGTAGAAAATGTATGTTTTACTTCTATGTTATGTTTTTATGAATACTGCCAGGCTGAAAACTGAATTTATTAAGATTTACCCAAATCTAGTGTCAGCCAAATAGCTCAGTGGATTAAAGTGCCTGAAAGTAGGCTCAAGGGCTGAGGGTTCAATCCCTGGGCCTGCCATGCATGCTGAGATGGCAATTGATACTGGGCGTGGTGTGTGCCTGTAATTCCAGCTCTTGGGAGGCTGTAAACAGCCGGATCATTACAAATCTGATCTAGTAGTGAGACCCTGAACACACAGTAGACCCTTCCCTAAAATACAAAAAAAAAAAAAAAAAAAAAAAAAAAAAAAAAGATTTAAGCAAATCTGCAAATCTTCCCAAAAACTGTCTCCCAGGAAATTTTTTATTATAATAGCTAGAAGTGCCTGAGAAGCATTTACTACTCCATCTAACCTATATTACATCAAACTCTATATTTGATTTTTTTTTCTTTTCCAAATCAGAGGAGGGAAAAAACTAAAGAAGATTTTTATAGAACAAAATTGTCAAAAGCTTCTGCCACCAACATATGAACATCATGAGCTACAAAGAGCTCAAGTCCGCCCCATGCATAGGTCTGAGACTCAGGTCTGAGTCTCGTTTTCCTCCAGATTTACTCCAGATCTGTTGTCTCAAAAGACATTTTAAAAAAAATATCAAATAGGGGCCAGGGAGATGGCTCAGTAGAATAAGCGCTTGCCTGACAAGCGCAAGGGCCTGAGTTCAATACCCGGTTCCAAAAAGCACACGTCTGAACTCCAGTCACGCCGCAACATCTCGTATGCCGTCAAAAAAAAAAAAAAAAAAAAAAAAACAAGACATAAAACTATTTGTTTTTAGGTCTTATTTTGTTCTGCTTTTTGTTTAAATCCACAGCCCCTGTGCTGAGCTAAAACCTAGTTATCCACTCCCACCTTTTATTTCTTTTTCTTTTTCTTTTTCGACAGGGTCTGGCTGTGTAGCTCAGGCTGACCTTGCACTTTAGGGGATCCTCCTTTCTCAGCCTCCCATGTGCCGGAATTGCAGGCATGCACCACCACACCCAGTCACCAACCCTATCTCAAAAACTTTTCAAAATTTTGGGACAGGGTCTCACTGAATTGCCCAGGCTGGGCTTGGACTGCCAGTGCCCCTGCCCCAGCCTCCCAGAGGGCTGGCTTGCAAGTGTGCACCAATGCACTCTGCTTCATAAGTCTGTCGACCGAGTGGGCTGTGGCTGCCCGGCTGCTGCCCTGCGGGCAGAACCGACCAATCTCATGATCGTGCCAAGTTTCCACTCCTGCTTCTGAGATAGGAGAACACACGAAATAGATTTGTAATTCACCACATAATTCTTCAATTTTTTTGAAGTTTCAAAGAGTATATTTTATGATGTCAGCTTGACATTTTAGTAGTAACTCAGGTCTTAAGGAAAGTTTGCTTGATCTAACTAACTGCTCAGTCAAAAGACATGCATTCTATTACTTGTTTTTTATTTTCATATTTTTGGTACATACATTTTTTTATTCATACTAATAGTGTTTAGACAAGATATCATGTCTGCATCTTGTACTCTGTATAACTACTACAAAGACAACAATATGCAATGTATTAATTATTGTAACTGCCCATTAACCTGTTTTGAAACTGTCTCATTGCTATTTACTTCTCATTAAAATCAATAATAT